AAAGTGTGTCAACGCATCAGTAAGCCATCGGACGTTGTAGATTTGTAGATGTCAATGGGTGACGGTATTCGCTTAACATCAGGTGAACCGTCTGCTCGTTTGGCAACTTTTCACATAAAAAAAAAACAGTTTTTGGTAGACCCAACTGTTGTATCCAGCCGCGTCATCCAATCAATAATGTTGGACAAAATCATGTTAGTCTACCGAATTTCCTCAAGAAAGCGTCGAAGCGACGCACGGTCGGTAGAGAAACATACGTGACGTTTTGTTTACGCAGTACACGTTACTCTTTTACGACTCGGCATCACACGAACGCCCTGCGCCCGCAAACGCCTTTAAGCTAACGAAAGAAGAAACACTATCTTGTGTAATTGCCGTCTGCTACGTTTCTAAATATATTCGTGGGCGACTTGTGGTTTCATTCGCCGAGCCCCAATTGTCCATTACGGTTGATACAATGAAATGTTATTGAAGTGAAAACTTCGTTGGGCGCGTTGAGCACTTTTTGGGTGAACGAAAATCACGGAACTCATCGTCACCGAACGCACGTGATAAGTCAGCACTTAAAGTTAAAAACTTCATTGGTGCCGGCACCGGGGATCGAACTCAAGTTGCTCGAGTGTATTGAATTATATGCGAGCGCCCGGTCACTGAGCTATCACGGCTCTAGTTATCTAATTCCTTAACATGTTGATTAATTTTATAGACTTTGTTATACCAGTCGTAGTCACAGTCTGCAATAGAAAGATTTCTAATGAAGGTTACACATTATGTAATTAGGAACTGAAGAGAAAAGGCCTCAAAATTGAATGTCATTCCTAATGTATAGTGTTGTAAATCATTTAAAAAATAATAACTTAAAAACATATTCGACTCATCCGTGCTGACCTTTTACCAAAAATTGAATAATTTCTATTTATTTTCATGAAAAAAATCATTTTGCCATATAAAAATTTAAATACTACATAAGAAACAGTGGTCATCCCTTTTCGTAATGTAATATTCGAATTAATTATTTAATCCAATGTTCGGAATTGAAGTAACGATTAAGATACGTTTATTATTTAAAGAAAGGAATCATTCATAAATAGGTAAATCTATCTATTAATCATTTTGTAGAAACGTTAAAATTAAAGCAGACAAAAACGTCAAATACAAAAAGAAATCTCTCGGTGTTCATATGATTTAAAACAAAAAGAAACAAGGCGCGAGCGGGGTAAGCAAATAATCAAAGATTAACATGTTTACAGATTCTAAAACAAGCAATATCGTGTAACGTATACATTTTTGATGAAACGGATATATCGCACCGCAAACACTCCTGTTTGGTAATATTAATGAACCATTAAACGTTGAGCTGCCGATAGATCAAAGCATCGCCCAATTTACCCTTTTAATTCCAGCAAAACGATGAGTGTGTTGTTAGATAAGAAAAAAATCTGCTCTTAACGCTAAACATACTGGTATCGTGCAGCAAAATTATATTTACTTAAACATAGACCTTAAAATTTTAAAAATTAAGTAGACAATATGTCATGTCACGCCCGGTTTCTGAAACACTGATCATCGTAGAAATTAACTAATCTGTCAAGTGGCTTGTCAGATGTCATTTGAATTGCTAAGAATGGATGGTTAAACTAGGTGAATTGATCAGATTGTGATTGATCTATGTAAATTACATATTATGTAATAAACCTTAACCTAAACCTAATGTTAAAAATTGAAATACTTCATCTAAATATGAGTTTAAAAAAACGTTACGTTATACATGACGCTTCAATGTACAAAACTGATATGAATATTTTTGCTGCCACTTCATATATACGGATTTCAAGCATTCATATTTTACGCTTATAGCAGTGAAGTTAAAAAGTCAGAGGTATTTATTAAATCAAAATCAAAATCAAAAATATATTTATTCAAATAGACGCTTGCGCGCTCTTATGAATCGTCAAATTTTACATCAAAGATTATGTGTATAGGTTCGTAAGGTACCACCGGTTCGAAAAGCGGTTTCTGTTGAGAAGAGACCGGCAAGAAACTCAACAGTTGCTCTTTTTCAAAAATATCAGGGTACAATAAATATACAGGTATAATAGTCTTATTCTAGCCTACGTGAGTATCAACAGTATTAACTCCACACATTGGCGTCGTCGAGATATTCGAAATGGTATAATATGCTTTAATCATCAGTTGATTTTTAATTTTACATTTAAATTGGTCAAGCGGCAGACTGAATATCGACTGTGGAATTTTATTATACATGCGTACACTTTGCCCCATGAACGACTTATTTACTTTTTGTAGACGAAACAATGGCGTAGTAAGTTTGTCCTTATTTCTAGTGTTTATTTTATGTCTGTCACTATTCTTTAGGTAATAATTAAGGTTATGACGCATATACAAAACATTACAATAAATGTATTGACAAGCAACAGTGAGTATATTAACCTCTTTGAAAAGATCTCTGAGTGAATTCCGGGCTCCGATATTGTAGATTGCTCGGACAGCTCTTTTTTGAAGAATAAATATAGAATTTATATCTGATGCACTACCCCACAACAAAATGCCGTACGACAAGATGCTGTGAAAATAACTAAAGAAAACAAGTCTAGCAGTGTCGATGTCTGTTAGCTGCCTAACCCTTCTAATCGCAAAAACCGCGGAGCTCAGCCTATTCGCAAGAGATGATATATGGGGACTCCACTGGAGCTTTGAATCTACTGTAATTCCCAGAAATACAGCAGACTCAACTGGATTAATGGGTACGTTATTTAATATTAAACTAAAACTTTTCCTTCTTATACTGGGAAGGGTAAAAAGAATACATCTGGTTTTTTTGGCATTTAATACCATATTATTAATAGTAAACCAGTGGAGGATATGTGAAAGTGCACTATTCACGTCGTCATAATTTAATACGTTTCGGTCAACTTTAAAAATAAGCGATGTATCGTCAGCAAACAGTACAACATCACACAACCCACTGGCATAAAAGGGGAGATCATTAATATATACTAAAAATAATAATAATGGGCCCAAGATTGATCCCTGTGGGACTCCCATTTTCATCTGGGACCCAGTGGAATTAACATCATTTATAGATACTTTTTGAATTCTATTACTAAGGTAAGAGGCAATGAGATTGAGGGCGATGCCACGAATGCCATAATATTCTAGCTTTTGAAGGATAGTTTTATGGTCTACGCAGTCGAAGGCTTTTGAAAGGTCACAAAAGACACCTATTGCATCTTGTGACCTTTCCCAGGCGTTATAAATATGTTTGACAAGTGCGACGCCCGCATCTGTTGTCGATCTGCCTTTAGTGAATCCATATTGCTCATCGTGAAAGATTTTGTTCACATTAAAATGAACTAAAAGTTGATTTAATATTAGCTTTTCAAAAACTTTACTAAGAGATGGCAATATGGAAATAGGTCTATAGTTGCCTGGATCATTTTTATCACCACTTTTGTAGACAGGTATTATCTTACTAAATTTCATAAGATCTGGAAATATTCCAGAATCTATGCAGTTGTTAAAAATAGAAGCCAAATGTGGTGCAATATATGACATTATTGTGCTCATTAATTTTATGGACATACCCCATAAATCCTCTGTATTTTTAAGATTAATAGAATTCAAAACTTTTATAATATCATAAGTATCTACGTGATTAAATTTAAATGTGTGAATTAATTTTAATGTGTAAATTACTGTACTCCCGCGCGGTGCTAAAAGTTATTCATGTTATTATTTATAGGTACATTTAGCTTTTTCCTGCGAATTTGATCCTGTTCGTCTCTGGACGGATTTTTATCTAAGAACACGATGGAAATTATAAAAATGTACGACATGGTTATGTAACATTTAAGTCGACGAATTAAAATTAAAATTTTAGGGGTTAGGTTATTAATAATCATTAATATTCCTTATTAGCTACGCTAACAGCAAAACATATATAAAAATGCATAAGATTAGTTCAAAGAAAAATAACATTGCATATAATTATGTTTGCCAATTATACACGTACACAACTTTCAATTAAGTAAAAAAACCTTACATGTTCCAAACATATACGCAGTAAGATTTGAAATGTCAATCGCATTATCTTTACTAGATAATTTTATAATTATATGCACTACTGAGTATAATTTAACTTAATTAAATTATCCTGCTCTTATATTGTGCCCTACCTTAATATTTTACCCTCATTTAGCATCCAATGTTTATTCAGGCGCATTCCACTATGTTTGTTCATTGAGAGGTAAAGATAAGAAGATATTACAAGATCCATCAAAATCGGCATTTCATTTTATGAATAATGGAATCGAACCGAAATGTTTGTTATGTTAATGTTTCAATAAATCTCCGATGTGAAATCACATTGTATATTTCCTGTGATAAGTAAATAATATACAGGATTGGTAAGCGAACAACGTTAAATGTTTTGTGGTCTACACACATTTCATAGCTACATTATAAATGAAGGATACGTTTTATTCACGAAAATTTATAGATTTTTTCGGAAACTAAAAATAAGATCTTATCAAATTAAGGACATAAATGGACTTTTCGTTGGAGCTCTCTGAATAAGGCATAATATACAGACATACGCTGTTAGGTACGGGATTTCCCAAAACCTGTAAATATGTCAAGTCTTTTACCCAAATGGATTAATCAAGCGGCTAATGCAATCCACTTTACACAAGCTTATTATGTGACAAAGCGACGAGTGGTGGGAAATGTGAATATGGGATAGGGATTTCTGTATATTGTTAGTATATAAGCGGGTATAATAATAATGACGTCACCCGGCGTAGCTTGATACGTCAATTGTAGAAAGATCGGTTGTCCTTTAATTTAAATACAGCCCTCGACTAGTTAACTGCTTTTTAATTCTCTCGTGCCCCGTGCTCCAAAGTAACAGTTGGCGACGAGGATGGGATATATGTAATTTATCAAATGATTCCGATCTAATGTCCATCACTTTCCATTAGGTGCACGATGCCACGGGTGATGAAGTGCCTGATATACATCGGCATCGCTGCCTTCCTCCACCAGCTACCGCGATTCCTGGACCGCCAGTACGTCCCACACCTCACCGTGTGGCGTGGACATTTCGAGGAAGTGTGCAGGGTAAGACGTGGGCCTTGTGATAAAGTTTTACTAAGTTATAGGATACGGCCCTGGACAGTGAACTATTTTTTTTTCTAAACATTACTTGGATATAATTAACTGATAATCTTTTACTAAGTCGTAGAATACGGCCCTGGACAGTGAAGTATTTTTTTTCTAATTTTTTCTAAACATTACTTGGATATAATTGAATGATAATCTTTTACTAAGTCGTAGAATGCGGCTCTGGACAGTGAAGTATTTTTTTAAACATTTCTCTTACTGTGGGATATAACTGGGGTAGGACGACGCAACGTTGTTGCACGAATGGGCAGGCTCGTCCCGGGAAGTACCGGGACCTCACATGTGACCGGCGTTTAGTGGGAGTATAACACTTTCGCGGTTCGTCTGGTTAGTGACGTAACTGGTGCACACTTCTGTAAAGAACTTAGTCGTCTTTGGCAACGCATCTACAACCACTCTAGTGTCGCAGATGGGAGACGGTCACTTAACATCATCACCGCCCGTTACCTTCCAATCTTTCCCCTAAAAAAAGGATAACATTATTCATCACATGTATGGACATACAACATTATAATAACTATATTATTAGCCATAATTACGATTTTTTGGTAGCATAAGATGAATCTAACTTAAATATTATTAAATATGGAATCGCCATATTTAATGAATATATTTTAATGTACGTATGGTTTTATCTAAAAATAATATACTTATAGATATATAGAAAGATTTGTTTTTTCGCTATCTATAAATAGACTATTTGGTAATAATACAGATTTTTGTTTCTTTTCTATCCTCGAAAACTTTAATCTATTTATCAGGATTTTTATGTACATCGGAGTATAAATATTTAAAAACACACTGTAAAGAACGGAACTATGCTTTACAGATCATACAAATATTTATTTTCGTTTCGCCCTACAGCGCTATTTTATGGTCCCGCTGTCTGAAATACTGTTGTAACGACAAATATATTCAAACATTGGGGTTTAGATTGCCGTCTATAAGCAAAACTAAAAAAACTGTTACAGCTTAGATACATACCTTTGTCCTAGTGCGGTACAAAGGCCTCTTTATAGAGGATATCAGGGCATAGCCGACCGAACAGAATTGATAGACTTCAAATATATTTTCTTTCTCCTTTCTCCTCCTTTCTTTCATTTTAATTCAATATACTCGAGCAACCTGCGTTCGATCCCCGGTGCCGGCACCAATGAAGTTTTTAACTTTAAGTGCTGACTTATCACGTGCTCCGCGGTGAAGGAAAACATCGTGAGGAAACCTGCATATTTTCGAAATAATAACAACAAAAAAAAAGAAATTATTTTCGAAGATATGTGAAGTCCGCCAATCCGCAGTGGGGCCGCGTGGTGGACTATGCCCTAATACCCTCTGTATAGAGGAGGCCTTTGCCCAGCAGTGGGACATGTATAGGCTGTTACTTTGCTTTTTTTTACTTTTTTTCTCCTTTCTAAGACATACGATAGGTTTCTTTACGGTGTTTCCACCACCGTAAATCACGCAGCATATGAATAAATTAATGAATATTTTTAATTGCACACACGAGGAACTTTATCCCAAAGTGCATTTGTGCATAACAGAATATTATATTATTATAAGTGCAATTTTCAAGTACTTTAAACTTTATAAATAAATTAACGTTAAAAGTTCGTAATACAAAGTTAAGTATAATACTATAGTGAGTAATTTAATTACCAACGTTAAAGTGATAGAAAAATGAAAAAAGTAAGTCAAAATTATTATATTCTTGAAAGGTTTACTAACAAAATAACACTACATCTAATGTTATGCTGCTTATTAAAAAATTAAAAAATCTACTATTATTATAGCTACTGCTAGGCCATTTTATTTATATTCTTAAAAATAATATAATAAAATTTTGTAAACTGACGACGATGAAGTCATTAACTTAAATTGAATACATTTATCATGAAAACAATTTGATATAAACAAATAGCCATGTGACTATTTATTGTATTTATTTGAGCAAATGTATAATATTTATATTTAAACTTTTTTACGTTTGTTTACGTTTTAAATGGACCATATTTTTTAATTACACTTTTACAGATGTAACAGTCATGACACCAGTTTAAAATTGTAATTCGGCATAATGTAAAACATATTGAATAATTATGACCAAACCTATGGAACATGTAAAATTCATTATAATTTAATTAGCAGCATTACATTGAAGTCGCGACTTACGATAACGAGAAAGCTAGAGAAGAACCCAATGAAAAGTCAATTGTGCATTCCATCGCGACTGACCGTGATGAGAACGCTAGAGAGGCTGTCTCCTTATAAATCTATTGTGCATCCTATCGCGCCTTACGGTGCTGAGAACGCTAGAGAGGCTGACTGCTGATAAGTCATTTGTGCATGCCATCACGACTGACGGTCTCCTCATAAGCCAATTGTGCATTCCATCGTGAACGCTAAAGAGGCTGTCTCCTCATAAGCCAATTGTGCAAGCCAATTGTGCATTCCATCGTGAACGCTAGAGAGGCTGTCTCCTCATAAGTCAATTGTGCATTCCAGATAGAAATGGCGCCGTGGGTGCACGCGTTGTCGATGGACGCCTACTTCATAACGTACTTCGGGTTCCGCGTGCTGTTCGTCCACCTGATACCGTGCACGTCCCTCGTCGTGTTGAACGTGCTGCTCTTCAGGGCGATGCGGGCCGCGCAGATAAACAGACAGAAGCTGTTCAAGGAGAACCGAAAGTCGGAGTGCAAGCGGCTGAGGGACTCCAACTGCACCACGCTAATGCTCATCGTGGTCGTAACAGTGTTCCTCCTCGTGGAAATCCCCGTCGCGGTGGTGACCATCCTTCACATCATATCCAGCACGATAGTCGACTTCCTCGACTACCACATCGCGAACATACTGATACTGGTGACGAACTTCTTCATCATCGTCTCCTACCCGATCAACTTCGCGATATACTGCGGCATGTCGCGACAGTTCCGCGAGACTTTCAAGGAGTTGTTCATCCGCGGCGCCGTCACCAGTAGGAACGGTGGTTCTAGCAGGTACTCGCTGGTGAATGGCCCCAGAACGTGTACCAACGAAACTGTGCTTTAATTTTATTTAGGCCACTCTCCTTCGAATTTTGGACTTAGGCACGTAAAATTGTCTGAGCCCACTTTTCACAAGAGCTTATGCATGCGATGGATTTTCAATAATAGGTGTATGTATATAATTGTCGTTAATTCGTTTTGTTAATCCGGGGTATAATTTTTATTGATTTCCAATAAATTTCGTATCCGTATTAATTAACAAAATTTCTTACTCCTTATGACTGTCCACATCATTTTATTATTTCTGAAATCTAAAGTATATTATCAAAATACAAAATATTTAATATTATTACTCAAATTTGTCAGACAAATTTGAATATATCGCATTAAAAATTAAGTTAACAGTCACTTATATCTATTGCATATATTTGTCAATAGAGTCTATTTCTCCCTCCATCTGTATCAAAGCTTTCGATGTATAAACTTTGTAATAACAAAATAAATAAGTAACATTATAGTAGAATATTTGAAGCTATCGATACCTTTCTTTGGTTGCGTGAACACCTAATCACTATTTATAAAACAATGAAAGTGATATAATGTTATCTTATACGTTATATATATTTAGGTTATTAAAAGGTACTCCAACATTATATATAAGATTGTAGATTAGCTAATCACGCAGCCTTCAAATGGCGAGCCCCCATTTGGGAAACGTATCGATCTTCAAACAATTTATAAAATGATAATTTATGTCTGTACTTAACTTTTAAATACTTTGTTAGATTAATTTATCAACAATGTAAATATAAAAATCATGACTTCTGTAAATATACTTGTATACTATACTATTGTATGGATTCTAGATAAATATTCAAATGTGACTGTAGGTAAATAAAGAAAATGGGATTGAATTTCATTGCTACGTTTGTAGATTATTTAGCGTTATTAAGCAATCTATCGTATCATTTAGACACACTACTACATTTAAAACATGATTAAACGAATATTTTATGGTCCCCGGTGAAATACGAACCTTCTTGTTTCACGAAACATGGCGAATTGGATAGATAAGTATTAAGATTATTTATTTAATAAAGAACTATAAATTAAATTGACGTATTTTTTCTAAACCTCCTATTACTTTAAATAATGTGTTCAGCTCAGTATTATTTCTTTAAAAAAATATGTGCATAAAATAAGTAGCATTTATATTTTAATTTATCGATCATAACTTCTGACAAACGTGTTAACTAAAAATAAAGGATTAATGAACTGCTAATTCTAAAGTCAACCTCAAAAAATTAAAAGATACAATAACGTTTAAGCCAATATTTTAAGAACAGGATATACGAGGTCAAGTACACAACATTTATTTTGGTATTGGATGCATCTTAGTTTATATCTTCGTCTTAACTCTCTTACATATTTTCTAATATCACACATTAACAACATAAACAGCAGCATGAAAAATATAACTTTTTGAAAAGTAAATGTAAGTATCGTGAATCCAATCTCCAATCCAAGTTCTTTCAAAGTATTGTATATTTTGCCGTTATAGTTGTGACCAGGTGCCTGTTTTTAATTCAATTTCGAATACATCGAATTAAAAATAAGCTATAGGTCGATATAGGTCGTGGCAGGCAGATCATTAGCTTCATTCAGTTGCACGAGATGTCTTTGTGTCAATCATGAAAGACTTCCCAATCGCAATGTATTAAATATGTTCTACAAATGTTTGGGTCAATAGTAATCCATATTAACAAAGCATCGTTAAATGCATTAGCATTTTGAAAATAGATGTAAAAGTGTACAGGCGTACCGACACAGCCATAACCAAAAACTACTCGGCTTCTTTGAGGATTGACTAAACTGTTAACAAGCATTATTGTATTTTAAACCTTGTATATTGGATACTACAAGTTATGAATTTATTGTTAAATATGACACGAAGCGGATATTCTATACATCCCTCTGATATCAATTATTTCCACGACATCCATTCCATTTCTGGAATAAAACAGATATTCACTATATAATTTGTCCTTAACAGTTGTCCAAAGTTGGATTTCTATAAATATGTATGTGGTCAACGGGTAGTACCTGACTACTTGACTTCACTGACTCCTTACTAGGAATAAAATCAAAACAAGCTTTCCAATTCCAGGTACAGTTCTCGCCCTGGGTGTCATCGGTCTCAATGGACGCGTATTTCAGCACGTACTTCGGGTTCAGGGTGATATTCGTGCACCTCGTACCGTGCACGTCGCTGGTCGTCCTAAACCTGTTGCTGTTCAAGGCGATGCGGACGGCGCAGATGAACAGGAGGAAGCTGTTCAAGGAGAACCGGAAGACCGAATGCAAGAAGCTGAGGGACTCCAACTGCACGACCCTGATGCTTATCGTCGTAGTGACCGTGTTCCTTGTGGTCGAGATCCCCGTGGCGGTGGTCACGATACTTCACATCATATCGAGCACGATCGTCGAGTTCCTCGACTATCGGATCGCGAATATACTGATTCTGATCACTAACTTCTTCATAATGGTCTCGTACCCAATAAACTTCGCGATCTACTGTGGCATGTCCAGACAGTTCCGCGAAACCTTCAAAGACTTGTTTATAAAGAGTGCGTCTTCGAGCAGGAACGGCGCTTCTAGCAGGTACTCCCTGGTAAACGGCCCCCGAACTTGCACAAACGAAACAGTACTTTAAAATAAGCATATTCTAATTTAATATTTGTATATCTTCTGTGTACATGAAGTACACAAATAGAAATATGCAATTAAAAATATACACAGATTTAGAAAATGTGTAAATATTGTCAACATTGTAAAAAAGTAAATTTTGTAAATTTATATTTACAATGTTTATACTATCAAATTGAATTAATGAAAACTTCATGTTATCATATTGAATGATAGAATGCAATTAAAAACGAATAAACTTGAGTATTTGGTTGACCTTATTGAGAAATTTATACCTATTTGACACAAACGCTTTATTATTTAAATTAAATTTATGATATATTTAAAATTATAACTAAGTTAGTGTGTAAATTGTAAATACATTATTGTGCAAAAAAAGAATTTCCTTATACGATTTTAATACAACTTTTATATAAGAAAATGTAAAGGATCTTTAATAATTAAAATCTTTCATATGTTTAACGATTAAATATTTGATGTTATTTTTACTTATATCAGTATAATTATGTGTAAATTGTGTATTGTGACACGGAAATAAACAGACGTTAATCGTAGTCTGTATTCATTGAAAAATCAAAATTATAAGTGACAGTGACAGAAAATATTTGGAGTACTTTATTGCGTACTAAGAAGACGCCTCGGAACAAGATTTAGGTCGCATATTTATATTATTAAGATTTGACCTAAATATCTTCAAGTGTTTTAATGCACCATAAGATGTCAGATGTCATATAGAATACGAAATGTATCTATTAAATGTATTATTTACGGTATCAATAAAATTTAATTAACATTATTATGACTTTCAGTTTATTAATAAAAGATTCCTCAATCCATCGTTATCAAGAGAACTATCAACCTTTTAATGCTACGATATTTAAGTTCTTTATTTCTGTATCTGTCAGTATTTAAGGAAATCATTGCTTAATATCGTATAAATGGCATAGTACGTGCTGACATTCCGCTTCGTGCTTCCACACGGAACGGACGTTACTCTGAGCCGGAGGGCCCATGCCAACCGACCTGGAAGCCATCTTGCAACCGTTGTTGCTAATTCTATTTCTTTTATCTCTTGGTGTGCACTGTTCGCCTCATCGTTGTCGTGTTTCGCGGTCTACGGTTAGGGAAGTCTCAAGCAAGAAGAAAGAAGAAACATTATAGAAGAAAGAAAAAAACATTATAGAAGAAAGAAGAAACTTTGCCCGACTTCCGAGCGGATAGTGTTAGTGTAGTGTTGTGCTCGTAGGCAGGTTCCTGTCCGTAAGTAGAATTCTACACACATTTCTCGTCTCAGAGGCGGCATTGTAATTTTTACCTGTGTGCTAGTTGCATTAGGCGACAGCTAGGTTCCCGACTCACAATCGGACGGCGGCGCAGACATGGAGGTCGAAACGACCCCCGCTAACAACGCGAACGCCGACGGCTTCACCGTCGTCAAATCGCGAAAAAAGGGCGAGGCCGCCCCGTCAAACCGTCCCACCGTGACGCCCGCCAAAAAGGCAGCCGCGTCTGCCCAGTCGGGACCGACATTCGCCTCCGAGCGAAAAATCAAGCCACCGCCGCCAATAATAATACAAGATAAGGCAAAGTGGCACCAGGTTTGTTCGTGGTTTGAACGCCACAACATCCGAGACCCCCGGTCAAAAAATACGAATATGGGTATCCGCGTACACCTCGATTCGTCAGACGATTTCCGCCGCGTAATAAAATACTTGCGCGAAGCTAAGGTAGGTTTCCACACCTACTCACTACCCGAAGAGCGTAAACTTCGGGTCGTAATTAAGGGCGTCCCAAAAGAATCGGATGTCGATATGGCTAAGGTCGACATCCGCACTCAGGGATACCCTGTCCACGCCGTGCGACGTCTCAGGCACCCTCGCACCCGTGTCCCTATGGACATGGTCATGGTGGAACTTGACCCTACCCCGGAAGGTAAGGCCATTTTCAACCTTAAGAGGGTCTGTGGGCTCAGTGACTTAGTCATCGAGCCCCCACGTAAATCAGGTGTTGTGGCACAGTGCCACAACTGTCAACATTTTGGCCACACGGCCAATAACTGCTTCGCTCACCCAAGGTGCGTCAAATGCACCGGTGACCACGGCACAATCGAGTGCACGAGGCCGAAAGATTGCGCAGATCCACCGGACTGCGTAAATTGCCACACTACCGGCCATCCGGCTAGTTATAGAGGCTGCGCTAAGGCCCCGAAAACTCCCGCGAGAAAATCTCCCGCGAAGTCTACGTTGCCCAAACCCGCGCCCGTTAAATACATTCCCGCGCCCGTACCCGTCATTAACGCCTGGGCGAAACCCCAGGTGGCCGCGCAGGTAACCGCGCCGGTAATCCCGGTCGCCTCACGACCGATCGCGCAACAGCTGCCCGCCTCTCAAACGGCGCCGCGGCCGCAGGTGCAGCTAATTCCGTCAGTTTTCGCGGAAAACAAGGACGACCCCTTCGCGCAAATAGCTAACATCTGCAGCTTATTAGATAGAATTAATAGGCAGGAACTCGCCGTATTGTCCGCTAAAATAGCGGCCGCCACATCTGGCCACGAGCGTCTTAGGGCAATTAGCCAACACAAAACGCTTGTGGAAGCCCTTTGGGCTTTTACGAGCCAACCGTAAAGAACAATAGTCCGCGCGATAAAACCGCACTCCGTCGCGTCGTTAATTAGACCCATAAAAACACCTTAATGGGAAGTACAACCGCAGGTAGAATAAAACCTCGGGCTCTGGTTGTTTCGTATTTCAACGCAAACGGCATAAAGGGTCAAAGGGATGAAATCGCGGAATTCCGTCGCGATTATAACGTAGATATTTTCCTAGTGCAAGAGACATTCTTGAAACCTAGCGTACGCGATCCCAGAATCGCAAATTACAATATTGTCCGCCACGACCGGTTAGCAAACCGTCTGGGAGGCACACTATTTATTATAAACGGTCCTTGCACTGTTGCCCGCTCGACATTCCAGAGCTAAGTCAAATAGAGGCATCCGCGCGTAGGTTAGCGCTCACCGGCCACAGGCCGCTTGTACTAGTCTCAGCCTACCTCTCGGGGAATAGAACCCTCCTTCAAAGCGAACTAGATACGCTTCTTAACTTAGGCCCTTCCGTGATAATTGCAGGAGATCTAAACTGCAAACACGGCTCATGGGACATCAACAGCATCCCAAACAACAACGGAAAGCATCTCTTTAGCTTATCCGATAACCTAAATTTCAGTATAGTCGCTCCCGCGACTCCCACTAGGTATCCTACGGTGGACAACTACCAGCACGTTTCACCGAGTGTCCTAGACATAATGTTATTCAGGGAGGTCTCGCTCGACATCGAGTCGATAGAGTCAATCCATGAACTAGACTCAGACCACAGACCCGTCCTGTGTAAACTGGGCCAGAACGCCGGCGCGGTCCCTCCGACCAAATCCGTAGTGGACTGGTATCGTCTTGAGGTCAAACTCAAGGCCTTGGACCCCCAGGACTTAGTAGACTTACCCGAGACAATAGCTACGTTCGATGACGCAAATCGAGCGATAGCGAGTCTCCGCGAAACTATTACTTCCGCAGTCGCAGACTCGGAACGGACGGTGAAACTGTCGGGCGACCGACGGTTTAAGTTTCCGCCCGAACTGCGACTGCAAATTAGACAGAAAAATGCAGCGAAACGCGCCTTCGACCGATACCGATCGGAATCGAACCGAACCCTACTTCGACGCCTTCAGCTAGAAGTCAAAGATCGTGTATCGGAACACCGACACACAACGTGGGACACTCTCCTAGAGGACACCGAGCCATCGCACACCGCCTACTGGCGGTTGGCCCGCAGTCTGAAAGCAGACCCCCGCGAATCTCTACCGCCGTTAGTTAGACCTAACAGCGCTTCAGTAGCCCTAGATGACTCCGAAAAAGCCGAATGCCTTGCGGACAACCTAGAGCAGCAATGTACGCCATCGCGCGAACACACCGATTCGGCCCACCTAACGGAGGTGGACCGCGTAATCGAGACTAGGGCTGCGCTTCCACCGGAAGGCGAACCTTTAAATTCAGTGACCCCCGAAGAGGTCCAAGATATTATTAAAAATTTAAAACCAAAATCCGCCCCGGGCCCAGATAATATAAGTAATAAGATTCTCAAAGCTCTCCCTGGGCCGCTTATCTGTTTACTGGCGACAATTTTCAATACCCTTCTCTCCAGTTGCTCCTTTCCGGACGACTGGAAGCAAGCCACGGTTATCGGCATTCGCAAGCCGAATAAACCAGCCAATAAGCCCTCCAGCTATCGTCCCATCAGCCTCCTCAGTTGTCTGGGGAAGCTCTACGAGCGGCTATTGTTAAACAGGCTCAAAGAGCACGTATTTTCCAACGGCCTTCTGCCGACGAAACAATTCGGCTTTCGAGCTAGACACTCTTGTCCCGTTCAGCTATACCGCCTATCGGAGCACATCCTAAAAGGCCTTAACCACCCCAAACACATTAGTACCGGGGCTCTCTTCTTCGATGTCGCAAAAGCATTCGACAAAGTCTGGCACAACGGCTTGCTTTACAAGCTGTACACACTCAAAGTGCCAGATAGGCTCGTACACACCATCCGGGCCTTCTTGTTGAACCGCTCTTTTCGATATCGAGTCGAGGGCACCCTCTCCACAAGCCGCCGCCTCACGGCCGGCGTACCACAAGGCACCTGCCTCTCACCCTTGCTATTTACGCTCTACATGAGCGACATACCTAGAGACCCCCACGTCAATCTCGCGCTTTTCGCGGATGACACGGCGCTCTTTTACTCAGATCGCAACCAACAAGTCAATTAACAACTCGACTCCAAAGCGCCGCCGACCGCCTCGGCGATTGGTTCCGCAAATGGAGAATCGATATTAATCCAGAAAAAAGTGTGGCGTTTCACTTTACTCGTAGCACCCCCAACCCCCATCCGCCACACCGTTACAAAGGTCCTCGCCAGTACAGAAAGTTGGGGCAAATATCACTATATGGCCAAACTCTCCCCTGGG